TATATATATATATATATATATATATATATATATATATATATATATATATAGTCACATATGAAGGTAAGTATGTGGATGCTTGTGTATGCAACTGGAAGTCGGCCACATATATGCAACGGAAGCACGGCGGCTTGAAAAAAAAGTATAAGAAAGAAAGTATTAGTTCGAAACACTCGTTCGTACGATGGGTGAGTTTGTGTAAGCAGTTGATATACGGTATAGAGTGCAAAAAAAGGTATATGATCTTAAAATATTGTGTAAATGTGACTCATGTTTTACGCAAAACTACACCAGGTGCACATCTTCATATATGCTCCACAGACATGCGCTATATCTGGCAATATCCATGCAGTGGCGTAGACACGTTAGCATACCAAGGCGATCTCACAGATCTCACAAACATACGTATCAGCCTATCCATGGCTCGCTTGGTGACCTTGAATTGGAGGTCGGCTGGGCTGTCTGGCATTGCGACGAGCATGGCATCTAGTGCTTCTCTGTTTCGACGATGGAAGAAGCAGCAATAGAATGAGAGGAGGCAAAAGCTATGCAAGTTGGAGGTTTCCTATACAATGACCAAACCGAACTCCTATGAAGAGATGTCTGATGCCGTACACACCCTGTTGCGAGAAGGAAATCTGACGCCACATCCGCTGCCACCGGATGGTCCATGGTGTCCATCAGCGCAAACACTGGGTGAAAGTAAACATGGCTTGTCTGAGCTTCACTTCACTTTACTTCAGTACTATTAATTTGTACACATGATGTGAAGCAGCAAACTGATACATCCATGCACGTCGATGAAGCAAGCGTATGACCCGTATAGGCTTCTGATATAGAGTAGGTATGATCGGTACCAATATTGATCCCTGTTGTGCTGCTAATAGACTGAGATACAAAGTGTTTTTGAAAACAGAGGTATTCGAAGGCTCAAGCTCTCAAGCTAGTATCGCCGTGGCTCGGTAAGAGATTTGGTAAATCCTATTTAATACGAGTTTGATGATATATACAGCTCTCAAAGTACAGCCATTATTTAATCATGTCATTCAAAGCGTTGTCGTCAGATAATCACACTGGGTTGGATTGGGAGGTTTCAATTTATATATGCAATTTAAGTTTCAAAGGATAGCCTTTACATAAAAGCTTGCGCGTTTATCTGTGCCTGTCAAACTGTAGAGTACGGTATCCTTCCAGACATCTTCGATAATGAAAACAGCGTACCGCTCGAAAGCATGTGTATGTATGTTAAAATAGGTTCTATTTTATATAAATATGAATATCCATAGTTGCGGTTCCATAAGGAAGGCTTTCTGCTTGTACCTTAAGAAAAGCTCTTTCGTCTATATTTTGTCCAAGTTTACATACGCACAGCACCCATTTGAAGGAAATCTGGTAACCGCGACGATTAGAAACTTCGCCGGAGATACATTTCGTATACCTTTGGATATAAACACAGCGTCCTGTTTGTACGACTGTGCCTGTGTGAGATTGTCTGCACCCGAATCTATATCCTCCACGAAGTTGAGCGGGAAGAGAAGCGTGTTCTCACTATGGACTGAGCCATTATCGATATTATCGTCAGGAGATGACTCTGCATGACATTGGAGTTGCATCTGCCAATAATAAAGGGGCGATAGCACGGTAGGTATTGGTCGAGACCTTGGCATCAAAACGTTTTGACCTTAGTGCATGCTAGGACCCGTGGACAATACAATAAGACCAACACATGAAAGAGGGAAAGCACGGCAAAATGGCCACAATAAAATTGAATGGAGGCGAACGCTAAATTAAATAATAGGTACGGATATTACAAGATCCAAATACAAATCTAAACTAGATCGATCATTCGTAATAACCACTCGGTCCAACAAGGTACTAGAAACAAAAGTCAGAGCCGGTTATGAGCAAGGTTAGACTCGTACTCAAAGTCACAAAAACCCATAATAACATACAGAGCGAGTGCTAGCTAACGCAACAGCCTACCTGAGAGCGTAGGGCCAGTTTGAGCATGGTGTTGTTTTGCTTCTCCAGGTGCAGCAGCTGTTGTATGGATGCTACCTGGCGAGGCGTACAATGTCGAACACATAAGCCCAACAATGGATGTCACCCAGATATTTATGCGATAAAAATCATAATGCATCAACGGACTTGTACCTATTTTTAATACGAGGTTTCGAGAGTGGTACAGTGCACACCGTATATCTTTCATTTATGTTTGGTGCCCCGCCACTAGGTGAAAGGTACGGTATTCCGGGGGCGCGCTGTGCGCTGAATCTGAGAGGCAGACACAGCCCACATTGGCTATAGAATACAATGTAGAGCATTGTGACCGTGTCCTGAAGATATTGTCGCAAGTAGGGCTCATACACTTGGCCACTATACATCACGCTATCTCAGCAACACGTCGAAAGGTGCAGAGTGTAACACTGGCCATGGTGAAGTATGATGCGTACTCAAACACCAAAAGCTATCGAAGTTTGGCTCAGTCACCCCAATACAGCCACTACAAGAGGAAAGTCAGCATGAACCCTCAGGCATTGGCAACATAACCAGTGCAATATATATTTCGATGTGAAGAGTTGTCCTATTGTTTATTACATACCCTCATACGCTTTTGATCGTTCCGTGCTTGGTAGAATCGTGCCAAATACTGCGCATGCTGACGTCCGGTTCTCGAGTCTGATTTATTCCGAATGATTGCTAAGGCCTGGCCAACGAAGTGTGACCCGCGAGTACCATTTTGGTTATCAAGATTACAAGTCACGCGCCCGTATATGACAAGAGCACCGCCAATTTCGAAGTATCGTTGAGCTGCCCCCCCCCCCCTTCTAATCCATATAACGTACTGGTAATTGTTGGAAGTCTGTCGTGCGAACCGTACAAATTGACGTCAGTGTAGAATTGACTAAAAGCTATGCTCAAATAAAGTCATCTGGAACATATGCGTATGCGGATATCTACAGCTTACCAGTGCAACCTTTCTGCGCAAGTTAAGAGACTCAGCATCAGTCAAACTGCCGGCCGCTGCGTAGGATTGACTCATGGCGGTCTGTACAAAGGATCTCACTTACCAGATCAAGGTATTAGCATGTATCTCATTCACAGCATTGGTTCCTTTCCCATTTTAAGGTAAGGTAAATAACTCTCTATTGAGCCGTCTAATTCGAAAGAAACTACCTGTATAGCCCCTAGCACTGCATCTGATAATTTGTGCTACCTGATACGAGGTGATGGCACTACTGGCAATATGACTTTTGCTGCAAATATCACAACTCTCTACTCAGAAAGAAATA